TTTGTATTTTTTTCTAGGTCATTTTGCCAAAACACTGCAAGAAGCTCGAGTGAGAATAATTAACCAAAGTGTTTGCAACAAGCTGTATGATGATCTTATTACATCACGTATGCTCTGTGCTGGGAATCTTAATGGTGGCATTGATGCCTGCCAGGTAATCTGGAACTTGTAGAAAAACTACAAAGAAATACTTGCTTTCATTGGAAAGCTGTTCAGAGTTGTGAGTTGTTTGTGTGGTTTTTCTTTTTCCCTTTTTTTTTTCTTTTTGTTTTTATTAGTAATAGAGAGAGATATCTTGAGTGTGAGTGTATGGTTAACTTAAAATGACAACTAAAGGCTCTCCGAAACAAGGAAGGAAATTTTGCATAGATAATCTCTGACTCTTGAGAAATGTTGTTTTGCAAAGACAAAGGGTCAAATGTGTTGAGAAGAATTGTTTTTCATCTTCTCTTATATGAAATATAACTGTAGAAGAAAAATATAAGGATAAAAGGAAGGTTAGGTCCATCTGTATTAATTTGTATTAATTTTTTTTTCTTTTTTTAGTGTCTGTGTGTGTAATTGCTAAAATACTGTAGCAGTATAATGAGTAATGTATTGTTATAGTTACAAAGAAATACAAACAGAAAAGCTAAGTTAGGTTTGGAAATTGCAGCTGCAATGTTCTCTTTTAATACAACTCTTGACTACATCATTGTATCATAAGTTATATGACCTCACTTATTTATAAGCACAATCAGAAACTGCTCTTTGGATGTACTTCAATTGTCCTGACTCTGCTTTCTTTCTCCATCTCAGTTATTAGACTAGTTGTGTACTTTTTTTGTATTTAAACTTATGACAAATATCAACTTTTGAAATTACAAACATGGTTTTTGTACCAGTTACTGTGTAAAGGGAGAGAAATGTGTTCCTGTGTAATATATGAATTCTACTATTTTAATGTAATAGGATAATTTTTGCAAGATTGTAGCTCAAAATGGGTCAAACTTCTTTATATGGAGTAGACTATTTGCAGGATTTTCTTGCAATCTTTAAGTTCTAATTCAATGAACTATTGTTAACTTTACGTACAGTTTGTCTATAACCTTAGACCTTGGAATTGTTTTGTTAAAACATGTTGGTTTAGAAGTGTGATGTTCCTCCAAAGATGTATTACTTAAGAAATGCCCTTGAATTTTCAGATGGACATTTTTAAGCAATTCAGCTATTTATCATACTGGCTAGTTTCTAATACAATATGCTGTGTTTGAATCCTAGCATGCTGGCCCTCTGGGCCTCAGTCTGGGTAGCATCTTTGCTGTTTTTTTGTTTTCTGTCACTAGTATATTTCCTGTACAGTGCTAGAGAGCAATGACATTGGCAGTTCAGGAAACCCCCAACAGCACCCTGAAACCCTCTTACTATAGTTCCAGACTTGTGATCATCCTGTTTTGTTCATTTCTTCCTGGACATGTAAGCTGTGCATGTGTTGCACAAGTTATGCGAAGCTTCCAAACACTTTTCATCTTTAGAGGATCTGATACTTACAGTGAAAAATGAAGCAATTATTCTTTCACGCTGTTTTCTTATCACTCCAGGATGTTCTTTGGTCTTAGTTCGTCTGTGTAGGATCCTTCCTCTTGCCACCATCACACTGCCCTTTCGGTCTTTCAGAATAGGCTGTGTAATCAGCTGGACTATGTATCCTCCTTTCTCAAGTCACTTTGGCATCAACCTCTTGGATCATTAAAATTGCTAGTAGGACAGCAGCCTGAGAGAGAGGAAAAACTGCTCTGTCGTCTTCTCTTATCTCTAGATAATTTTGTTTGGTTGGGTGATGAAGGCTTTTCTATTATTACTCTTTTCTTGGTACATGGCTTTCTTCTGACCTTTTACATGTTTTAGCTCCAAGTGGGGGCAGCAAACAAATCCCAGGGTCACTTTGGAGGCTGCTGACTGCCTTGTGTGCATAAGGAACAGCTGCAGAGAGGAGCTGCACTGTAGCTGCTCAGAGTTCTGTGAACAGACCAGTTCACAGAAGACATACAAGGTTAAAACAATGAAGGGCACAAAAGCTTTGATGAGCCTGAATGCATTTGGATCCTGTGAACTGAACCAAATGGAATTTTTAATTTTCCTATATCACTGTGCAGAGCTGCATGTTCCATTTGAGGACTGGGTTCTTATTTGCGTGTTCCTTAGTCTTTATTCCTTCCTTTCCATCTACAAATGTAGACACAGTCTTGATTATGAAACTAATGATAATCCTTAATTGTGCCTGGTTTGTCTTGGGGGTTGGGGTTTGGTTTAGTTTGTTGGGTTTTGTTGTTGTTGTTTGTTTGGGGCGTTGTTTGTTTTTAATTGGGGAGGTGTGGTATCTTTCTGCTCCTATTTAACACACAGCATGAGAATTCTGCCTTCAACCTGTGAAAAATTTATGGTCAAATGGCAGTAGAATTCCCCATTTCTGTCCCTATCATCATCTCTTCCCATTTGGGCTGTGTTGAGTTTTTTTATGAATCCTGTAGTGGGAATTAGCAAGGGGTACTTTTACAAACTACTTCTTGCCAGTAATTTATATTGCTTTGTGTGCTACTTCCACAAGTTAAGATAATTGAAAAAATTTGGTGTCTAGCTGGGTACATTCTATCCAGAATTTAGACTCTAGTATTAAGTTTTAATTTGAGAAACAGAAAGGTAGGTATTTACTGTTCTTAAATAACCTAACTTTTGTTACCGTACTTTGTGTGTGTGCGTATACTAATGGCTGGGCTCCCTTCATTTTAGGGAGATTCTGGAGGTCCCTTGGCCTGCACAGGAAAGGGAAATAGATGGTATCTTGCTGGCATTGTGAGCTGGGGTGAAGGATGTGCTCGGCGCAATCGTCCTGGTGTGTACACTAAGGTGACGGCACTTTACGACTGGATCCATCAGAACACAAACTGATCAGCCAAGGAGAAAATGCACATCATCTCCATTTGAAAGGCACTTCCTCCCGTATTCTATCTGATGGCATAACAGGAAAATGCCATTGACTGTTTCTTTGTGAAAGAATACACTTTCTTAATGAAGAAACTATAATTTGTGGTTCACCTAGAAATAACTGTTCAGATCCAGAGCAACTTCAGGTTCCTTATGGATTCATCTTCTTTATCCCCATTACCAGAAACAGCACTGCCTTAATAACAAAACAAAATGGATTAGAACCTGTAACAAAAATCCAGCCAAAACTCTCTTGTGCAAGTCTTCTCTTCTTCCATGTCTCTTGTTATCTCTATATATCTAAATGTTTCCACGTACACATATCTGCACATTCATAGCCACGTTCCATACATATTCAACTCATGTATATTGCCTCAGTGATGTTACAGGATTCTAAACATAAATGATTATTTCATATTTCTCAAAAATACAAATAGTGTATAATGTACAAAGCTTAGATTAATTCATTCTCTAGTTATGCTCCCACTGCCCGACTGTTACTTTCTGGGCTGTAACTTTTAGGTTCTCTCCTGTGTTTTCTTAAAAATACAAGTTATATTGCTTACAAATGTTAGGATGCAAGATATTTCTCTTAAAGAACTGGAAGAGGGTGATGTCTAGGTAAACGGAAAGAATTAATCAGTTGTAATTAATTAAACTAAAAAACTCTAATGCTTTTTCTTCCATTATCTTTACAATATTAACATAACTGTTTTCAGTTTGTTACAGGTGTATTTCTCCAGCTCTGTCTCTGGCATGCATTGTGAATTTTAAGCATGGGTTCACTGTTTTTCCTGATTTCCTTGGTCCACAGCAAGCAGAGTTTCAGGTTCAGGAGTTTTGTTTTGTGTATCTTTCTGGGCTGTGCCCATGTGGCCACACTTCGTTGAAAGGGACATGAAAGGAAAATAGATTTATGTGATTGGATGCATCCTTGGGCTCAAAGAAAGTAGAAAAGGAAATGACAGCCACATTCCTTTAACCCTGTCAGTAACTCTAGTTTTGATAATTACAATCTCCTGATGAGCGGATCATCCCAAATCTAGCTGATTTAAGATTTCCAAAACTGCTTATGAGACTTAAGAATATTGATATTTAGCTTAATAAAAGATTTATTTAGATGGCTTTAAGACCATGCAGATGGTCTTTAAATTGTACTCAATATTTGGAAGTGTTTAGCTTTCACCTTTAATGTATTTAAAAAAAAAATGAAGTTGACAATTTGAATGCCTGTCATTGCTGTCCACAGAGCACACTTACTCTGCAGCACATAAACACGTGATCTTTAGTTTTAGACCCACCTTGGCAGCATGTGGGGAAAATGCTGGAATGAGCTACCACTGTAATCTGCATGCAGTGAGATACTTCTTTCTAACACTGATATTGCTTTTCCTTCCTTTCTCACTTCAGTGTTGGGCACCTTACCTTGGCTTCTGCCAAACTTACGCCATAAGCTATACTCAAAGCCTATGTTTTGGGATGTTACTATCTTTAATGGCTAGTCAGTCATTCACATCTTCCTTTTCAATAAACACATGCTAAAACTGCAAGTAGATATGTTTTTATTTGTTTGTGCCTCTGAAACCCTAATCCCCGGGTGTAATCAGACTACATGTGTACCTTGGAGTTTCCTCTTTTTGTAAAGCTGAGCCTAGCGTAACCCTATTATTAAAGTGCACATTTAAAGGCACAAGTTTCTTTTCCTTATATTGAAACCAGAGATGGCTTGGCTAGGCAAGAAAACAGTTTTTCTGCTGTTCTGTTTTAGATAAAAGCTTAGCCCAGAAAGTTCGGGTCAGTTCTCGACTTCTCATTTTATTTAAGAGTTTCTCAGCAACGCCTGTCAGAAGGGCCAGTACTTCACATGCAAGAAGAGCACCAAGTGTGGAAGTTAGATTCCCCCAGATGAAAGAAACTCAACACTTTCAGGAGCTCCTTCACAGATATAAAGAAAATAAGGACTTTGACCTGTGCATGGTGAGATCCATAATCATTAACTCATTTGACTTAGAAAAACCGTTTTGGTTTCAGACAATTCTGCAGGAAGGTAATGTCTTTTACTGTGAGTGGAAATTAAATAAATGAAGCTGGTCTCCAGCTGAGAACCAGCTGATAAAGTCTTTTCTAGTGAAGATATCCCAGGTAAAATCTTGTGGATCCAGACACATGTTATAATCTTGATGACTACTCAGCTTCATCCTCAGTCCTCAGGATTCTCAGAACCAAAGGTGGGGTTATACAATTTGTATTTCTTTTTACTTGCTGAATAAACATAAGACATGTGCTCAGTTTCATGGAGTGCCTTTGCCTGGGTGGCTGTGACACAACATCAGGAATCTGAACCCTGGGCATCAGTAGCCAGATGAGTTGCACAAAGAAAAAAATCAAAGTGGCAGGATGGGGAGAGAGAGCATCCCAGGCTTTTGGTAGGAAAAAGAAGTAGCAGTGCTCTGAGTGGATACCCAGGCAGCAGAGAAGGGAGTTGCTGAGAGGCTTTGTTTGGCTCTTAATGCATGATCCTCCCTGTGCTGGAACAAAAGAGTAAGCAAGAATGCAGTAAACAGCTATCTGCCCAGCCCTTTAGATCCAGAGGGGAGAGAGATGCTCTGTGGGGAGGAAGGAGAAACATGAGGGTGGAGTCAGAACAGGACAAATAAGAGGAGGTAGGATGGATAGTGGGGAGGTTGGGAGAGGAATCAGCCCTGGCTGCAGTAAGCAGTGGTGAGTGCCCAAGAGAGTTCACGTGGGAAGTTAATGCAAACCAGATCACCATGACTACTTCATGAAAACATGCCCTGTAGAGCATAGGTTGAAATTGAAGATCATCTTCCTCTTCTCCTCAGATCTGTACTTTGTGTTTTTGTGGGTTTTTTTGTTTTACCTGAAAGCAGCTTCTCAGGTTTAGGTTGGATAGTATGTTAATAGACAGAAGTGGTTCTTTAACACCAGATGTGATTTTAGGGAGCATAGCAGCTACAGAAAGGACAATTCACAGCACAAAGAGCAGTAGCATTCATTTCTTTATTGTCTATACAGGGGAGACTAGAATTACAAGCATTGCTAGAGTCCCAGCCTAAGCAGACCACAAGCTATATGATCCTTTACTCAGTTTGTGCTGCTCAGAACCACATCTGTTTAGCTGCATGGAAAACATTAATAGTAATTTATTGCTTTGGCTGACAGCAGCAGGGAAAGCATTCTGGTTCCTTTCAAAATTGCCTCAGCGAATGATAACGTTGCTGAAGGTTTAGTCACTTGCTTGTCAAGGGCTGGTACAGGAAGGCAGGCAAACTGGAAAACCTAGTATTGCACAGCAGAGAGGTGTACTTCTCACGGCTGGGCAAATTGATAGTTCCTCCACCTCCTGTTTCTCCGTAGCTAGTGCAGCCGACGTCATTTGTTCTTCCAAGGAATTCCCCTTATTAATCAGTGTTTTGAGATCACTTCTGTGAAAACTATCCCGACTCTCCCTGTTAGTGTCTCCAGCCTCGTATCAGAGCTATTACTGACCTGAAACTGGAAGGAAATGAATTGCCTCCGTACTTGCTTTAGAGTCAGAGGTCCTCGCACAGAGACAGAAGAAATGAAAAGGCAAAGCTCTGCTCAGGAGCATGAGATTATTGAATTAAAAGAAGATAACATGGAGGAAAGTGAGGCTGATCATGACAAGCCTCTAAATGCTCCAACGAGAAAGGTAGGAATTTTACTTGCTCATTAGATCTTTGCTGTTGGGGAAAAAACTACACAGCAAGAGAAATGACACTTTGCAGAAACATCTTACTGGGGTGGTTCAATTAATTGTTTGAGGGAGAGGGAAAGGAGCTGAAAATGTACTTTTTTTCTTCTTATCCATGAAGTTTTCTAATATTGGAGTGGCATCTTAAGCTTTAACTTGGGAACTAAAGTTGCAATTGATACTCTGAGTTTTGCTTTCTATTTTCATGCGCTGTCAGTGGGATTGGGCTCAAAATCAGAAAGGAGAAAAGTTGAAATCGATTTTAAAACCAGGCTTCCCTTCAGTACAAATTAACCAGAAAACAGTGTTGCCAAAACAAGAATAAAATGTCCTCCAACAGAGCATGCTGGATTCTCTTTCTTTTTATCTTTGAGTAATTCAGAGTTACTAACCATTATGAATTTGTATTAATAGAATGCTCCAAATCCTCAGTCAAGACCAACGTATGAGTCCTGAGGAAGGTAGCTTCCAGTTCTTAGCTTAAAGCTATGGAGCAGACTAATGCTGGCAGAGGTATAATATATGTTCACGGGTGACTGTGAACGATGATTTACATTACTCACTCAAGGAATATTTGTGACAGAGCAAAGATGTTTCCCACTTTTCTCTAGGCATGGCTGACCCCCCCCCCGAGAGCTGTCTGTATTAGTCACACCACCCCTCCCTTCCCGCTCCTGGTGGAGTAACTGCAACTGCTTCCTTGTGCAAGCCCCGCTGATCATCTCTGTGTGCTGATCCATTCCACTGGCTGGGCAAAACCCCCATTTACTCTACCATATCAGGGGTCAGCTACTTCTCCTCTGGTCTGGTAAGCTGAATCAGCTTGCTGCAGGGTGAGACAAAATTGAGGGAGGTGCAAAGAGGAACGGGAGAGGGTGGAAGAGAGGCAGGGGTGATCTAGATCTGCTCGGCTATATTGCGAAACTTTACCCTTAAGTTTATCCTTCCCCTTCCCAGAACTGAGTTTTCATTCAAGCTCTGTTTCTGCTGAATCTGGCAATTGACTTTCTTTCCTATAGCAACTGCTGGAAAATTATCATGCTTTGCTTTCTGCTTGGGTGGCAGGTTAATCAGAGCTGCCCTGCCCATCAGGGAGAGATTTTTCTCTGCTGCTGTTGCTTCCCCCCAGCAGTCTTGTGATGTCTATGGGCAATGTCCAGAGGCTCTTGGACTAGTTGTGGAGCTGAAAGTTTTCTTGAGATCAAGGCAGTATGGTATGTGTGATTAAGAATTACATTTTTTGGTAATCTAAATATGTGGCGGCTCAATCGAAACTTGGACTTGACAGCTGTCTCTCTCAACCAATATTACTGTGTCTGATTTCAAAGTTGCAGTCTAGGCAGTAGTTACTGGCTTTTAAAAATTTTTTAAATACAAAATGATATGCTAGTGTTAAGTGTTAAATTAAAGCTTCAGTCTTCTAACGCATTTGAAAATTAAATTAAAAAATTTATATATAAATGTAATAACACCTGAAAGTATGCTGTAAGTCAAACCATATTCAGTTTCTGCTCTTCGTTCTCCACCAAAGCAAAGTTCTGTGTGCAGAGATGTCTGCAGAGAGTGTTTCCCTTTTTCTGCCCCTGCTTCTGGAGAAATGACTCTTGTAAGATCTTTCTGTAAGTGTTTGTTTTCTCTCTCTGTCCCCTTGCCACCCTCACAAAAACTTTTAGCCAGCTGGTGGATTCAGTAAAATTCAGTGAAAGCCTTTCTGTTATGCTGGATTCTTAAAAAGTTAAAAAAGTAAAGGACGGTAGCCTGGATTAGTGCCTCCCACTAATCTGCATGTGTGTGGCCCAGACAACCTTTTCCTTACTTGTACTAATGTCAAAAAGGATGTGGAGGGGGAAGGAGAAGGAATAAAAAGGCAGCATGGTCTACTTATGAATTCAAGCCCTTCCTTCAGTCTTCTGGCTGTGGAACAAAGCAGTTGAAGTTTTTTGTTTTGCTACGTTACCTAAGTGAGGTTTTAATTGTTTGGTTGGTTTGGGGGTTTTGTTTGTGTGTTTTATAATATTCATACCACTAAGTTAACTAATTAAAAGATTATTTTTTTCTATGGCCTTAAATAGTATTAAAAATTAAACATCAGGCAAGTATTGTCCTTTCTCTCCCATATGAATGTACATGTGCACAATCGCTTTGGAGACAGTTTTCTCGTGCTTTCCTAGAACAGGTGAGATTCCCATTAAACTCTGTTAAATATATTCAATAACCTTCAAGTTTCCCATCTACTGCAGAAAAAGGGAGATAAAGGTCTCAGTTATTTTATGGTGGATTTAATGCAATAGCATCTATTGAATAGCAGTCCCTTTGCTTTGGGGCTGGCACCCAGTAGCTGTGCAGATTGACATCACCAACATTGCAAAGGTGAATGACTTTGGAAATACCTCTATAGACACCCTTTTGGTTGGGAGAGATGACAAACATTAAAAGGACAGCTTGTGGAACATGCAACTCAAATTCCTGTAGTTAAAAGTAAAGAGGGAGCCAAGAATGCACCTTTGTAGTACTTTGGCTTTACAGGCAACTCAGGAGTTGGAAATTCTGCACAAATGGGATTCAACGTTTTTCTTTCAAGTAATCACCTGCCTGTGAAACTCCTTTGCCTTCTGCAGGTCCACATTCCCACCTGCAGCAGTAGTCAACGGTGGGAACCCCTGGTGTAGGGCATTTGCTTACCAATGAGGCTCTCCCATCTATGCGAGGTTTTTGTTTCTAAATGTGACAGTAGAGACTCGCTTCAATATTTTTTCTTGCCTTATTTCATTAATCAATATGTCCTTCCTTTTATAACTAGGAGAGGGATCACTGGAAGTCCTGCAGGAATGTAGTTTTCTGGAAGTGTAAACTATGGATGGTTATAACTGCAATATTTCTAGTAATCCTCCTCGTCATTCTCATCAGCCTAATTCTTTATTCTAGTAAGTATCTCACTCTTGGTTACAATAATACAAATGTACAATGTGTACAGTCTAATATAACACAAATGCAACAGCAGCATCCTTTAAACTCCTTCATTAAACTGCTGAAGGGGCTGGTGTACTGACTGCAGAGGCTGGTGTGTTGAGTAGTGGATATGAATGGTTTTATCTTAGCATGCAGCAAGCAACTTGTATCCTGATCAGGTGGCAATTCCAGTTTGTAGCTAAGTGAGAAAATGTTGTGAGAAGAGATATGGGGATGAGGATGGAAATTATGTTTGTCATGTTGCAAGAAGTGCCGTGGAACACTTAGATCCCCTCAAGTGGTGTCATTGTCAGTCAGGCTCCCAGAGCAGCTGACTTTTGCTAATGGGAGGTGGGTGTTTGACCTCCACGTGCTGTCACTTCTCTTCAGGTGACTTGCTGTAAGACTCCAAGCCTAGGGAGCTGCTGGCTCACAGGATTGGCTAGGAATTTTGCTTTAATATATAGATATAGGGTTCATTAATATCTTGAGATGGTGTCAAGAGAATAAGCCACGGGCTTGTTCCCAAGGCATTTCTTTATTTATTTAGGGGAGCAAATACGGGAACTTGGCCAAAGTTCAAAAGGACACCACACAAGCTAGACAAAAAATGTTCCACCACAATACTGACTCAGCATATACTATTAATCCACAACACTTAAGTCAAAATCCAGTAAACCAACAACACTTAAATCAAAATACAATCATTCCAACTCCAAACCACCCTGAGCATCAAGAAAGGAGCAGAGAAGGAGAAGCAGAGGGATCAAGAAGAAGCTACCACTGCAGCCTTGTAGAAGACCAGCTCTCACAAGTCCAGTGGCAGGGCCATGACACGATGATGCCTGCTCAGCTGGTGCTAAGAAAAAAATCTAGGAGCCGTTAGTTGGGGTGAGATAAGAAAGGGTTTAATTGTGCCAAGGCAATAGATGGTAAACAACGCGCGCCGGGCTGTGCCTGAGATGTTACATTTATAACAATATCTGGCCAATCCCACCCTGTCCACCCTATAACTTTTGGCCTGGTCCACCCCCTGGCCCGCCTCCTGGAATTGGGTCGGGGGGCTTTTTGGGACCCCCTCTTCATCATCCTTCATCATCTTCGGGGTACAGAGAGCAGAGTCACCCAGTTCCTTGACTCTGTCCTGCGGTTTAGGCCAAGATACAAGCATTCCCCAAACAAGACAGGCTTGCCTTGACTAAGAGACTAAACATTTTCTACTGGATACGGGAATAGGGTTGACATGGGGGGTGTGGAATGGGGTGAGAGGATTAAGGAATGTATAAACTAAGGGGTGCTAGGGGAGGAGGGAGAAAGGGGTTTGTTTCTAAAATCTACTTCTATTACCTATAAAACTTGTAAGGCTTACAAAATTAGAAAAATAAAATAAAAAAAAAAACATTAGGGGGCTTAAGGCATCACGAGGCAAACACACTCTTGGTTTTATCTACTCTGGTCCTCATGGACAACTCCCCCAGGCGGGGTCTCTGACCCACCAGCCACTCTGGGGGTTCCAGCTCAGGGTGAGGGGCAGTGTTCTCACTGTCCCTGCCAGTCTGAATTGGGTGAGGGGCTGCAGGAGCTCTGGGGTGTTATAGTTTTCCCCAGCTGTTTGTGACTGACAGCTCCTCCAGGGCTTCCCCCTGTGGGCTCCAGGGGCCTGCCATGAGGGACACCACACCACCCCACCTCCGTGAGGTTCAACCTATCCCTTCCCCTTTCCCAGACACACACACAGTCCCACAAGGTGGTTCTGACCCAATAATAACTGACCTGGTGTCTAACACTTGCACTTTCTTTCTGTCACTCCCAGCCAGTCCATCCTTAGGAAATTTGTGAGAAAGCCACCACGGAGCAAGCCAAGGAGGTTTTTTTCAGTACTTCAGATAACTGGAACTTTTCCCTTTTCTTTCTATTTCCTTTTATTATTAGATGTTTACACAGATGAGGATGACTATTGGGATCCTGATGCACTACTAAGCAGTGGAAATTTTCACAATTTTTCGGGAACATTGGAGTTAATGTGTGGTCTCCCACACTTTTTCTCTGAGGACATTACTAAGAGGGTATGTCTTGATGTGGTTCTTGGCAAAGTTGATTCTGCTTACAACATAGTTTCAGTGTTTTTCCTTTCAAGAAGTTTCTGTTTCTCCGTGTAGCAAGTCCACAAAAAAATTGAGTTGTACTTCTTAAAGTCCTGATCTAGAAAAAAAGCATTGTCTGCTTTTAAGCACAAAAAGAGCATCTGATTTTTTTCCACCAAATTTGACTAATGGTTAGGACACAGTCTTTACCTTTTTCACAGAATCATTGAATAATTTAGGAGGGGCTTGTGGAAGTCATCTAAAGCCAATAGGCGCTAAAAATCCTGTGTGCTGCATTCTTTCATGAGTACACAATGACAGCCTGGGTTTATAGCTGCAATTTCCATCAAGCCATCATGGCTCTGAGTTACATGAAATAAGCTCAGCGGGCATGACAGTGCTCATTTAGACATCGTGGAAAGGGAGTGTCAGTAGAGAAACCCTTCCCTCTACCAAGTAAAAGTTAGAAGAGATTTTTGGCACTAATTAAATCACAAACCTAACGATGTGAATTGCACATGGCAACATGAGCACACACTTTTAGATCACCCTGAATGCCTCTATTGTGTTAAGGTTATATAGCAATCACTCAAATGTGCAATTAACTTTTCTGTCAAATTTAAAAGGACTGTGTACCTCTTCCAGGGCAGATATTTGCTGAAATTTAACCTTCAGTACCTGTGTTTATGCCCCTAAGATGCCTTCTAAGAATGATTTACTGTGCTTTCTTTTGTGGGGAAAAGAGAGATTGAATAAAAGAAATATGTTTTTCTTTTTTTCTTTTTTTTTTCTATCCCAGCTAACAGAGGTCTACAGTTCATCTCCAGCTTTAGGACGTTACTTTAGGTCAGCTCAAGTGATTTCTTTCAGGTAAGCAATTTGTCATCAAAATTATCTGAAAATTATAGGCTTTTGATGAAATAAACACATAAGTATGTGTATATGTAGGTTGTTTGGGGGAAAGTTAGGTTTATAGGTAGGCAAAACTGGTCAAAGGATTCTCTGGTGTAAACGGAAAATGCTGCTAATAGTATATGACAGTAGCATTTAGTTGCTGTAAAGTATTCATCTCTGTTATTTTTGGTTCCAATTGCAGCCCTTAATAAACATATTCAAGGATATTTATTAAAGGGAAAATTAACTGGTGGAGACACTTAAAATTGAAGTGGCTTAAATAGTCACAGGGTTCATGGGGAGGGGAGAACTGTTTTGTTTCCAAAAGAGGTAAAGGCAACAGGAATATACATGCCTCCTGTCATGGAGAAATAGCAGAGAGGCAAGGGAAGACAGTCAGAGAGCTTCCCCGAGGAGTTCTGAAAAGCTCGATTACAAAAGGAATTAGAAAGATGGGGGAAAATCAAGGAAAGTAGATTCACAGAGTCCCAAGGTCCTTGAGAGAGCAAGGACAGAGAAAGAGCTACCGTGGGATGTGGCAAGGGGCAGTCCTGAGGTCACTTTGCTCACTTGAGGGAATATGCTCCCTTGCACTGCCAGCCTTGGGCATGCCCATGCACTCTGTTCCATGGTGAACTGTAGCTTCTAAGCCTTATTTCCTCTAAGCCTAAAAATTGTGATTTAGACCATCAAGTACAAAGGTCTAGTTCTGCATATATATTGATCAGCTGATCTCTCCCTCTCTGCCTCTTTGTATGTCTCTCTCTTGCTGCCTCTCTCTTTGTTTCCTTTTATTTCCTCACATTCAACTACTTTTTGTAATGTTTAAGTTCTGTGAGCACAAAATGTAACTGTTGAATTGTAGACAGTGGATGTAGTAGACCACAAACAATGAAATCTCCAGAGGTGGTCTGACTAATCCACTCTAGAGCTGAGTTAGGAGCAGAGCTGGGTGGTCCCAGGTACTGCTGGCAGGAGAGCAAACCTTTCTGCGGGTTCCTAGCTAAGCTATGTATATGATATTGCAACACCTCTTATCAGTGTGTACTTGTGAAGCAGGGATGCTGAAAACCACACCCCATTAGGACACATGTCCAACTGCCCTTTGTGCATTTGAAAACATGTCCCTGACTGGTTTCAAGTACATACCCAGTTTCGAGGGCTGTTCTGAGAAGGGAGGAGGGCGGAGGAGGAAACTGGAAGCTTTGATGACAGTTTTCTTTTATAATGCTTTTCTTTAGAAAACATTCTAAAAAAAAAATTCATGTCAATATTGATATGTAAAGTCAGTCTTCTCAAAAAATAAAACATCCAGGGGGAGCTTGAAGGCATTCATACCTGACTTTGTTTTTCAGTAATGAAAGCTCCACTGTAATTTATCAGCTGGTGTTTTCTGTACCACCATCAACAGAAGGATTTATGGAAAACATTATGAACCCAGATTTTATAAGGAACATTTTACGTCAAAATATTTATGATGAAGATGATACTTTTGATCCTGGGACATCTGAATGTGACAAGTTAAAGCTTGACCGAACTTCTCTCACATGTAAGTGCTGTGCATTATAGAAACTGTTTCTTTACAAAGAGCAGAAGCATTTATGGTAAAGAAGGGAAATAATTCTAGAAAAGTGTTGATATTTGTTAGGAAATATATTTTGCACAACAACATTAAGAACACTGTAAAATAGTTTTGAGAAAGTCCTGCTATGCATAACTTATTACCGAGGATTCAATGTCAGGTGCTCTGATGAGAAAGGGAATAATGATGAGACTGGTCAGCTATGGACTCCAACCAAACTTCTCAAATATATTCTTACATTTTTTCTATACAAAGAAATTCTCCTCATATGTGTGTGTACCATAGTGGGGAGACAAAAAATGAAAAATATTTATCCTTATTGTAGATTCATTTCTGTATACTTACAAACCAAATTTTAATCCAAGTAAAACAGGATAAGTAATTTGGGATTCAATTTCTCAATTTTCTTTTTCACAATCAAGGGGAAAAAAGACTCCTGATTTTTGTCTTTTTGGAAGTTTGTGTTTTTTTGAAAATTTATTATGCACAGTGTTACCTTTTAAAGTCACCAAATATTCATTCTCCTAGGTTTTCTAAGCAGTGGTTCCAATGACTACCAGTGACTAGCCAGTGATTCCAACAAATTTATATTTGTCTTGATAGAAATGCCAGTATAAAAGTCCCATGAGCTTTGCAGTTATAATGAAAACAATGCACGGAGCCTCTTCCCCCACCCCCAATTTGCTAAGCCAAACTTATGTGCTTTATAGAATAATCCTAGGCCAACACTTCAACATACAGTGTATATCGTGATTAACTCATATGAAAGTTTCATTTTAATTTTAATATTGTACTGTTTTAACTTTCAGAGAAATGATGGAAAGGTTCCTCATCTTCATCGCCACCTAGAAGAGATGAGATCTCCTATCTGTTAGTAATCCCAGGGCAGGGAACTATTCATTAGGTAGAAATACTTCTAAATACTGCCTGTGATGCAATATTGTAAATGGAATATGTGGCATATTTATAACAGTGTTGCACTCCTACACCACCACTACCTCCTTCTTAATTGTCCTGATACCTCAATAATCCATTTTGCTCTTGGTGAAAATCATGTATCTTCTCTGATACGTGCTCTGTTGACTTTGGAAGCTCTACTTTGTCTTGCCTTATGTTTAAATCTGAATGCTCTGTGCAAGCTTTAAAAGTGGTCTTGCACATGGCTTTCTTCTTCTTCTCTTGGTTTATCCAAAATTATCTGCATGGCTTCACCTTTAATGCTTGCTTCCACCCATACTGTTACTTTTTTCCCTCCTAGCTTCATATGCCATGTTTTCCCATTGCTCCTTCCTTGTAAAACGGCCTGAAAACTTTTATATATATATATATATATGTATTCTTTAATTACATGCAAGACCTTTGCACTGGATTCTCAAGAAAGCTTTAACTCTCCTTATTCATCCTAGAGTCTTCCTGGATAAGGTGGTATCTGCTCTATTTTTCTCTTCTTCTATGTGAAATAGAAAAGAAGGAAGAAACATCGTGAAGAAACATGTCTTGTTCACTAACGCATCTGAATGTCACAGGAATCTATCAAGGGTCAAATTAGCTGTGTGCTTTAATAATTAACTACTGCTACTAGTGGATAGACAGATATTTGACCCGCATTTGTAAATCTGAAGACAAACTAGTCTACTCCCTTAGCTATAGTCCCTGTCCCAGCACTGGGGGTAAAAATGAACAGATGCAAGATATTTGCCTTAATAAGGCAGCAAATAGTTGTTCTTGTTGATGAAAGATCAGATGAGATGGATCAATGCCAAGAGGAAAGTGCTGAAGCAGGCCATGTAGACCAGCGTGGCATGAGAGTTATAGACAGTACCTGGCTATGACCTGAAAATGAAGCATTAACTTTATGCAGAATGGAATGTATTCACTACCATGTTAGTGAAGTATACCTTCTTGTCATTTATTTATAGCCTGTTGGATAAACACATTTATTTTAAGAAACCTTTTGTATTTTAAGAAACATTTTTTATTTTAAGAAATACCTTATGGTAAATTGTATTTTCTTTTCTAATATTGCTAGTTTATTTAAGGAGTAACCTGTCAATGTTGTTGTGCATTAAATTATTTTTAAAGTGATTGTTTTCAAGCTTCAGTCTTTCAGCTGTTTGAACTGGAAAATAACCTCTGGAATTCTAAATGCTGAGAGCTGTATGAAGTTTCTGTCTGACAGAGCTGTACACTCAAACCCATAGTTGTTGTTGTATTAGTTTTATCTGAACTTGGGAAACATTCTGGACCAAATTAGTAGTTCGCATAACTCTCCTATTTGTGGGTAATTCTGATCCCATCTTGAGTTGTAAAATATAGCATTGGCTGTGAGCACCATAATTTCTCTTGCTGTAATTTTCTATGCAACATAGAGCTAGTAGAGGTATTCCTCTTGATTCTTACACTGGGGAAGGATAAACTTCATGGCCTGTATGGTTTGTCCCAAAAGCAGCAGGCCATGAAAGTACCAGCAGCAAAGAAATAAGTTGCTGTTGAGATGCTGCTCAAACTTACTGCTTTTACTGAGATGCCTGAACATATCCTTGAACACTTTTTTATCTTAATTCTAAGAACTGAAAAATAATGTAATGATTAGACTTCTTTATGGTGATACCCCTATGAACATTAAGAGTTGAGAGAAAAAAAGGAGACAAGCATTCATTTTTTACCCAGCCATCCTCCTCTGGCCCAGTACCTTAACCCCAAGGAAAGAAGGAGGTGGAGTTGTAGTAAGATGTGATATTAAACAGAAAATATCCAACTTTACAGTCTACATCCAGTCAGATTGTATTAATTATGATTCAGTTCATTAGGGACACAGCAGTGTGAAAACACGTTATTTCATCGTTAGATATTTTGTGTGGATCTTAATGTGAATTTTAATAGAAGGAATGTGGGTAATACTTTAACGACTGAGACGACTGAGACAACTGAGACACTGTTAAAAAGCATCTTATGGAATGTGCAACCAGCCCTTTAAAACTCCATGGCAGGAAGTCATCTGTGTAGCCACAGCAGCCAGTACCAGTTTTAGGCAGGCTCAGCTGCCTGTCACAGCAGCGGTACCTGCAGGCAGTCTGTGTCCTTCCATGCTGTGTGCAACCATTCACCCGTGGGACTGCTCCTGGCACTCCCACTCAGGTGGGAGTGGCAAAGGCACCACAAAGCCAGGGCTGCAGCCAGCCATCACAGACAAAGGAAGACTTAAATCCGGGAAAACTGTACAACATTTTCTTCCAAATTGTATTGTTACAAAAATGGAGGAAGCAAAAAAACATGCTCAAGCAAGAACACAGGCACATAATCACTTTGTGAGCTCTGGTAAATGGTTGAATAACCAGTTTCAGTCCTTTGTGCATGTCCAGAAATACTGCTTGCAGAGGGGTGATGGGCTGTG